TGGATAGAACTCTCACTATCTGAATAGAACTCTCACTCTATGGATAGAACGCTCACTCTCTGGATAGAACTCTCACTCTCTAGATAGAAGTCTCACCATCCAGATAGAACTCTCACTCTCTGGATAGAACTCTCACCATCTGGATAGAACTCTCACTATCTGGATAGAACTCTCACTCTATGGATAGAACTCTCACTCTCTGGATAGAACTCTCACTCTGGATAGAACTCTCACTATCTATCTCGATAGAACTCTCACCATATGGATAGAACTCTCACCATCTGGATAGAACTCTCACTATCTGGATAGAACTTTCACTCTCTGGATAGAACTCTCACCATCTAGATAGAATTTTCCCCATCTGGATAGAACTCTCACCATCTGGATAGAACTCTCACTATCTATCTGGATAGAACTCTCACCATCTGGATAGAACTCTCACTATCTATCTGGATAGAACTCTCACCATCTAGATAGAACTCTCACTATCTATCTGGATAGAACTCTCACCATCTAGATAGAACTCTCACTATCTGCATAGATTTCTCACCATCTGGCTTGAACTCTCACCATCTGGATAGAACTCTCACTCTCTGGATAGAAGTCTCACTCTCTGGATAGAAGTCTCACTCTCTGGATAGAACTCTCACTCTCTGAAACTCTCTGTCTGGATAGAACTCTAACTCTCTGGATAGAACTCTCACTCTCTGGATAGAACTCTAACTCTCTGTCTGGATAGAACTCTCATTATCTATCTGTATAGAACTCTCAGTATCTATCTGGATAGAACTCTTACAATCTGGCTTGAACTCTCACTCTCTGGATATAATTCTCACTCTCTGGATAGAACTCTCACCATCTGGATAGAACTCTCACCATCTGGATAGAACTCTCACTCTCTGGATAGAACTCTCACTCTCTGGATAGAACTCTCACTTTCTGGATAGAACTCTCACTCTCTGGATAGAACTCTCACCATCTGGATAGAACTCTCACTATCTATCTCGATACAACTCTCACCATATGGATTGAACTCTCACCATCTGGATAGAACTCTCCCTATCTGGATAGAATTTTCGCCATCTGGATAGAACTCTCTCTATCTATCTGGATAGAACTCTCACCATCTGGATAGCATTCTCACTCTCTGGATAGAACTCTCACGATCTATCTGTATAGAACTGTCACTATCTACCTGGATAGAAGTCTCACTCC